CAGGCATTGTGTTATAAATACCTTGCCCACTGTGGAGAGAAAAATTTCTACTTGGTTGGTGATACCATTTTACTCCACTTACCCTTTGCTCGATTGGTTGATCTCTTCATTAACATACTGATTGAGTTCTTTCCATCTCATTCGCTTATTCAACTTATCTCATTTAATTATCTTTAGCATAGATATGTTTGTCAACCTCATCTAACTCTTTACCTACAATAACTTAATACACTCCCTTTTTCTTATCTCTTTCTTCTCCAAACTCTATCGCTGCAATAATCTAACTATATCTTTCGTTTGCTCAAAATTGGGAAAACTCGGGTGGTGGCGATTCAATTGTGGAAGGTTCGTTGATAGAGCTTGGGGGTGCGTGGGTTTCACGGGCGATGTGCTACTGCCTCTGGTAGTGCGTGGTTTCCTAGTGCATTTGTATCAGTGGCGATGGTTGAAGGGGTTGGGTGTTGGTCAGTGGGTGTAGTTGGATGTCCGGGAGTTGAGGGTGGTGTGCGTATGTTGTGTCGACCACTAGGTAATGATGGATGTGGTGAAGGCTTGGCTATGTAGTGGTAAAGAGGTGGGTTTGTCAGGAAAAGGGGAAGAGAAGAGCGGAGATGGTTAATCACATAGAAGGGCTACAAGTGAATGCCACAGAGGTGGGGTTGCCATGGGTGGGTGACTATTACACGTTAAAGTAGAAGAAAAAAAAAGGATAAAATGGTTTTTTAAGTAATTTTCCCATGGCATAAGTTTGTCTATAACGGTTGGCCACTGCTAATCACGGTAGGGAATTGTGAATTATGATAAAAATATAAAATATAGAAGCGTGCAGTTAAAGTAAAATTTTAGGTAATGTTTGTGATGTCATTAAAGATAAAATAATCTATGGAAGTGGGGGTTGGTGTGGATGAAATTTACTCCTATCTTTGCTCAAATGTATATTTAATTGCGAAAATTGAGATTGAGTTCTTGTTAAGTGACTTATAATGAATTTAGTCCATTAAGAAAATTTATTTGAAAATAAGTCAATTTTTAATCTTACTAATAAATAGTTAAATTCACTATTTTTTTTGAACTCCAAAATACCTTTTCTTAAAAGTAATTTAAATTAGTTTCCTAACTTAAAAATTCTTATCCTTTAATTCCATGTCAATGAAGATATACCAATAAATTTTTTTAAAAACAATTGGATATAGATAAATATGAGAACAAAAATTTTTTAATGTTAGTCAAACTTCTAAAATTTAAGAATTATTAATTTTCAAAATTTTTTAATTAAACATAACTACTAATGATATTTTAGATAATAGAGATCAAAGTGAACTTAATATTAAACAAGTTTCTATGATGAACTTATCACCAAATAAATACACATAAAGAGACCGACCTCCAAATTTTTCTATTTAATTTATGGATTGGAAAAGCATACACAGGTTTGTACAAGTCCCACAAACAGATTTACATATTTTTTAGAGTAAATTTCTTAATTAATCGCCGACATTGATTTTAATTTAGTCCCTGAACTTTCAATTATTTCAATCTAGTTCTTCAACTATCATTATCGTCTCAATTAAGTCATTTCGTCAATTTTCCCTGTTAGATCAAATAGATAAGATTGAACTAGTCTCTATTTGATTTAATTGTAAAAATAGACAAANCTGTCAATGAAGATATACCAATAAATTTTTTTAAAAACAATTGGATATAGATAAATATGAGAACAAAAAAATTTTAATGTTAGTCAAACTTCTAAAATTTAAGAATTATTAATTTTCAAATTTTTTTAATTAAACATAACTACTAAGGATATTTTAGATAATAGAGATCAAAGTGAACTTAATATTAAACAAGTTTCTACGATGAACTTATCACCAAATAAATACACATAAAGAGACCGACCTCCAAATTTTTCTATTTAATTTATGGATTGGAAAAGCATACACAGGTTTGTACAAGTCCCACAAACAGATTTACATATTTTTTAGAGTAAATTTCTTAATTAATCGCCGACATTGATTTTAATTTAGTCCCTGAACTTTCAATTATTTCAATCTAGTTCTTCAACTATCATTATCGTCTCAATTAAGTCATTTCGTCAATTTTCNGCCACTAAACTATGAGGAGGGGGTCCCTACCTAGGAACGGGGGCACTAAGTTCCACCTCAAGGGAGAACTGAGCAATGACAGTGAACGAGTATGATTGTCAACTTCGGCCTAGAACAGAAGGTTTAGTCAAATCGAGTAGGACTCTCTGTGTATGGTTCATTGTCTATTGGGGATGTGCTTGACTGGAATCCACAAGGACTCCTAAGATAACTAGGTTATTGGTCTAGATCAACATATGGGATAATGAAACATGAGGATTGGTGGTTAAAGGATTGAAACTATATTAGTTTCCTCTATTGGGCACCTTAATAATGGTCTTGAGGAGGGGATCACAAAGGGAAGGGAGGAGCCTGGGTAGAAGTGCGTTGGGGCCATCGCATACATAGCCCTCTCGAGGTCATGGTCTCGTAGTGACTAGTCACCATCAATAACTTTGGGAGCCCCCTTTTCGCTTTCGATGTCACACCCCTCCTCAGGGGCCGCATTCATGTTGCATTTGAGAAAATGTCACATCTGCCTAGTTAATGTTGGAACATGTGGTTTGCAATTAACGGCCACTGATATCGCCGTGGTTGAGACAGTTGTGGGTTGCCATAAGTGTTAGAGGATCATGGTAGGCAGCCCTTTGGGGAGCTCGACTTGTCCAGGCATTGTGTTATAAATACCTTGCCCACTGTGGAGAGAAAAATTTCTACTTGGTTGGTGATACCATTTTACTCCACTTACCCTTTGCTCGATTGGTTGATCTCTTCATTAACATACTGATTGAGTTCTTTCCATCTCATTCGCTTATTCAACTTATCTCATTTAATTATCTTTAGCATAGATATGTTTGTCAACCTCATCTAACTCTTTACCTACAATAACTTAATACACTCCCTTTTTCTTATCTCTTTCTTCTCCAAACTCTATCGCTGCAATAATCTAACTATATCTTTCGTTTGCTCAAAATTGGGAAAACTCGGGTGGTGGCGATTCAATTGTGGAAGGTTCGTTGATAGAGCTTGGGGGTGCGTGGGTTTCACGGGCGATGTGCTACTGCCTCTGGTAGTGCGTGGTTTCCTAGTGCATTTGTATCAGTGGCGATGGTTGAAGGGGTTGGGTGTTGGTCAGTGGGTGTAGTTGGATGTCCGGGAGTTGAGGGTGGTGTGCGTATGTTGTGTCGACCACTAGGTAATGATGGATGTGGTGAAGGCTTGGCTATGTAGTGGTAAAGAGGTGGGTTTGTCAGGAAAAGGGGAAGAGAAGAGCGGAGATGGTTAATCACATAGAAGGGCTACAAGTGAATGCCACAGAGGTGGGGTTGCCATGGGTGGGTGACTATTACACGTTAAAGTAGAAGAAAAAAAAAGGATAAAATGGTTTTTTAAGTAATTTTCCCATGGCATAAGTTTGTCTATAACGGTTGGCCACTGCTAATCACGGTAGGGAATTGTGAATTATGATAAAAATATAAAATATAGAAGCGTGCAGTTAAAGTAAAATTTTAGGTAATGTTTGTGATGTCATTAAAGATAAAATAATCTATGGAAGTGGGGGTTGGTGTGGATGAAATTTACTCCTATCTTTGCTCAAATGTATATTTAATTGCAAAAATTGAGATTGAGTTCTTGTTAAGTGACTTATAATGAATTTAGTCCATTAAGAAAATTTATTTGAAAATAAGTCAATTTTTAATCTTACTAATAAATAGTTAAATTCACTATTTTTTTTGAACTCCAAAATACCTTTTCTTAAAAGTAATTTAAATTAGTTTCCTAACTTAAAAATTCTTATCCTTTAATTCCATGTCAATGAAGATATACCAATAAATTTTTTTAAAAACAATTGGATATAGATAAATATGAGAACAAAAATTTTTTAATGTTAGTCAAACTTCTAAAATTTAAGAATTATTAATTTTCAAAATTTTTTAATTAAACATAACTACTAATGATATTTTAGATAATAGAGATCAAAGTGAACTTAATATTAAACAAGTTTCTATGATGAACTTATCACCAAATAAATACACATAAAGAGACCGACCTCCAAATTTTTCTATTTAATTTATGGATTGGAAAAGCATACACAGGTTTGTACAAGTCCCACAAACAGATTTACATATTTTTTAGAGTAAATTTCTTAATTAATCGCCGACATTGATTTTAATTTAGTCCCTGAACTTTCAATTATTTCAATCTAGTTCTTCAACTATCATTATCGTCTCAATTAAGTCATTTCGTCAATTTTCCCTGTTAGATCAAATAGATAAGATTGAACTAGTCTCTATTTGATTTAATTGTAAAAATAGACAAAATAACTTAATTGAAACAAAATTCATGATGGAGAAACTAAAAGGAGACATTTTAAAGTTTATGGATCAAATTGAGACCGAAAGCAAAATTCAAGGATCAATTTTGATTTTTACCCTATTTTTTAAATAGAAATATACTTTTCTTTTACATGTTTTAGATCCAAATTCATATGATGATGGTTCATATACGTGCACGATCTACCATCGAAATGACAAGAAAAATACTGATTCACATCGTTTCACAAGCAAAGTTCAATATTCTTTTGACGAAAGATGAGAAAATCTATTGTAGATCCGCAGAGTTAATCCAGGAACATGTACAAAACAACATTAAAGTAAACGGTCCTCGATCAAATATTTAACATTTCACTCGTATATATAAACAACCTTTCATTTATTAACAAGCCATATCAACAAATCTCCTCAAAATGTGTCTGACGAGATTTGAAGTGTGTGTATTGATTCTGATGATGTTTTCAAATTGGAACTTCTTGTGTCTTTGCCTATGGCGGCGTAAGGCACCACCACAATCCTATAGAGCCAGCGTCGCTCACTAATATTTTTCAACGTTTTGGTTATTTTTTCAATCATCACCAAAAATTCACTGTACTTTCTTTTTCCCAAACAGTAAACTCAATGAGTATGTGTTGCCCTTCTGTGCAGCTGCTTCCACTCGTTTCCCCCCAATCTAGAGCCATTCACATCAAAGAAAAGGAAATTAGAGGTAAAAGTAGCAGAAAAGTTCAAACATTCTCTTGCCTTAAATTCATCAACAGGCCAAGAGAACACTTAGGATACTACAGAGACTTTCGTTCACACACCAAGGTACATGGTTGCTGTGCACAGAATCATATTTAATTAGTTGGTAGACATAAGTAGACCAAGGCTAATGATAGTTGTACAGAGTCATATTTAGTTTGTTGCCACCCCATTTAGGGGCAATTATAAGGAACTGAGATGCCACCCTAATTCGCATGGCGGCATACATAAATGTTCCATTGATGACTGCCTTAAGAGGTATTAGATGGTTACCTTGTCCATGAGCCAATATCCTATGGCCGGCATGTACTGTACTAAGTACATAACAGCAAGCACAGGCTGCAAGAATAACCAAAATTTAAAATTGTAATTCCAAACTAGTACATGCTATAGATGATAATAGAAAAATAAAACTCATTCAACCACTTATATCATTGAAAAAGAAAGCCGCAAGGGTGAGGCTTCACAGGTGATTGAAACCACTGTCGAACTTCAGCAGTTCATTACAGGGTGATCCATCAGCCTAATGCAATACCACAAAGGGTCATACTCGAAAGTCTTCGATAAGACTCGCTCCAAAACCTGGATATGCCCATCTATTTTACATCATGATACAAGGGCATAGAGCATATACTACTGGTTGGACCACCATCCCAGCTCCTGTTGAGGGGTTTAGTTCACATGATTGATATCTTGGATTTTTGGAGGTTGCTGCAATCTGATCCTCACTATATCAGAGAGGCAGTAATGAAAACCAAAGCCCATAGAGATGTTACTGACGCTCTAACTCAAATCTGAAAGAGCATAGCCCAAATAAACTGTCTTCAGAACTACAGTAGTTTTTAATTGTGAAACCTAAGAACGATAGGCATTTGGGATAGTTCAAAGTACTCAGTTGAGCGACGCTATTGTTGAAACAAGTCCAATTTATCCAGCGGGCTGCCTGCTAATCTTCGTTCCTCCACGGAAAAAATAAAATACAGGCTGGACCATCTGTAAATGGAGAACTAGATAATTTGGTACACTTGGCATACGTTGATAGAGAAAAGTATAGCAATTCCAATATCACTGAAGCTGTGAAGCAATAATGGAAGCCTTCAACTTCCTGAAGGCCACAATCGAGATCAAGGTTTTTCTTGGGAGGATCTAAGAATCAATGATCAGAAATACAACTCTAAAATGCAAACAAATTTCAACGGGATATAATGGAAACACACTTCAATGGAAAGTTGACATGCAAATTAGAGCTTGGAGAATGTAGAAAGGAACGACTTGCAAGAAACAGACTTACCAACCCGACCAGATACAGGAGTCAAAGAAATGGGTTCCAAAACTGTCACCTCATTGAAAGATAAGATTCATGGTAATTCCATGCGAGAAGAGATATCATGCCAGATTATAGAGATAAGGAATGACAAGAGAGAGAAGAGCTCATCTTTGATTTGTTTTATATCATCACCAAGGACTATAAAAGTATTAGAAGCCATCAATACATAAATGGGCCATGAAACAAATACAAGCATATCAACCCAAAACAGTTCTTTGCACCTATCCGACCACGACTTTAACCAAACCCCACCATAATCAAACTTTGAACCAGAACTCAGATCAGGTCAATTATGTCGGATGCGTATGATTAGAAAAATAGCACTTTCCCTTAATTTCCTGAGTAATGAAGATCAACGTAAAAATCCAAGGATGATTTTGGTAAAACTGATAAGGCAATGTGAAGCATTTACAAATATCATGAGAAATAATCCAAAAGTTAGTTTTCAGACTTCTGATGCATATCAAAGCACCATTAGTTATTCTTTCTGTTTATTAAGTGTGAGAGCCAGTTCATTGTGGTCAGTTAACATGAATTATCATCCTGTTGTTTGGCGATTGTAAATCTAGCCAATATCTGGGAAGAGCATTAAGCTTTTCTTTATAGTCGAATGAATGAAGATAGTAATACATGTTCTAAAATGCCAACCATGCTTTAATGTTCTGATAATTACACAAATTTTAGTGCAAAGAAAAAACTTGAGTCCAGTAAAAACCTGAAAGCAGATAACTACTCATTGTAATGCAATAAGTTGGCAAGAAGACATTAAATAATTGCACTCCAGGACAGGCCAAGACTAATTTGTCCCCCACAAGGGGGAAAACAGTACCAGATTATTTCCATAAACTTCAGCAGGAGAAAATGCAATTCATCTAGTGATAAGAAAATCTAGAAAGTTCTTTATGTACCGCAATGTCGCATCCTCATGTATCTTGCCATCATTGAAACCTTAACATTTTTTTTGGGGGGGGGGGGGGGGGGTTGATAAAAAACCTTATCCAACAATTGTCTCAGTGCAGAAATCTAAAATCTAATGCCAATATTTGCATATAATTTTCAATAAACATAATCTTAAAAGAATGTTTCCTATCTCAATGAGTATACCTGATATGATATCCAAACTTCCTTTAGGCCATGGCTTGCAGCAATTATTGTCAGCTGCGCACACCTCTCCGAAGAAACACGCTTCTAGAAGCCAAGAAAGGGAACATATGAATGCAACATGTCGCATACGTACTGATCCATCATAACTAAATGTCTTTCAACAATAGAAGTAGCTAGTAACAACATCAATCATTCACCTAGACATCTAAAAAACTGGGAAATTATCTTATACGCCAAGAAATGTGCTGTGAAAATCATCAACTCCTTGATCCCCATTATTTCTCTTTAGTCGAGAAAAAATCTCCTCTGGAGAGTCATGGCAATAAAATTCATGCAAATCCTCGTTCCCCATCACTACCATTTGGTCAAATGTGAGATTAGGAGCATGAGAAGTAAAATTTATTCAGTCCACTCCCACATCTGGTTATCTTCTATAAATGGTTGCTAAATACACTTTGGGAAACAATCTGACACAGAGGGCGACGTGGACTAGCATATTATTGGTACAGTCCCCTCCTTAGATCTCCCCCCCCCCCAAACCCAAAACACACAAAAAAGTCTAGCAACCAAATAACACCAGAATGTACTATCTTATGTGAGCCAAAATTTTAACATATATTTAGGAGGAGTTGCAAGGGAAAAACACATTTTAGTAAGAAAAGTTGAGATCATAATCACCATTCCATTTGAACATCCACATATTGAATGATTTTAAGAAATTACCTCCGCAGAGCCCTTTTGTCCTGAGGTGCTTGTTTCGTGATCATTTGAAGTTTTTATTGGGCCTGGACATACAACTGTCACCTTAATTCCTTTCTGACAAAGCTGCACTCACAACATGAACAACATACAGTATACGACAAAAAAGATGATGAGGATGTGACGAATGTAATGATGACGTGTGGGAGAGAACGCTTTAACCCCATTAAGTTTCCAGTATTAGTAATATGCCAACGAATGTTGGGCCTGTCTTTTTTTTTTTTTGAGGTATGTGAGTACAAGAAACCCATTATGCCATTGGAAATTACTTTCTTATTATTAAGAGCTTTTTAGTATTAGGGAAAATTTAGTCATTTTTTTGTGCTGTTGTGCCCTACTATAACAGGATTTCACTTTGCACCTTTTATTATGATGTTGTAAGCAAACTATTAGCCACAATAGTATTCTCACTATATTTCTTCTCTTTTTTCTCCTTGCCTGTTATGTAATCCAAATTTACATGGTATCAATGCGTGTTACTAACTGCGCTCACGGCATATGCAATGTCTAGCCTCGGCCTAAGTTTCAGATTGACGTCCAACGGCGTGCCAATCGCCAAAGCAGTGCTACTTCTAGTTTTTTTTTTTGGCAAAGTTCGGGAACCTTCCCATTAGTGAAAGGCTCTATCCCGGGACGAAGAGAAAGACAGGGAGAAGGCCAAGTACGAGATCACAGGGATCGGGCTGGAACTTGACAAGAGCTATACAGGTTTTTGATTTAGAGATCATCTAATAGGGTTTTTATTTTTTGGATGTTTTTCAAAATATCGGGTCCCAACTTTTTGATATGGTCTTCTCTTGATTTTCCTTCGATTCTATTGCTTCAAATCAGTGTTATAGGGTGTGATTAAGGGGCTTGTGTACTTAGTTAGGTGATTCAAGGCACCTGGGTTGATGTGTGATGAGGTTATGGTGGTTTTGGGTGAGTTGGCAATTTGGTTTCTGCCCACCAATGATGCTTTTTTAGCTGATTCTGCACACTACTGCTACATTGCTCCTTTTTTGGCTAACCTGTGATGAACTTTGGTGGTTTTGGTGACTGGGCTGCCTTGTTTGGTGAACTGGTGATGAGGTTTAGGGTGATTTTGACTTGATTTTGCAAGCTGCTATTGGATTGCTGCTATTTTATGCCTCGCTGTAGATTTTTTTTCACATACTTGTTGTTTTGCTTCTCCAATCTTCAAGACTGGGCAATGGGTTATATGTTATCCATTGTTCTTGTTTAAATTTTTGCCATGTTCTATTGAATTCTGCATGTTTTCTATGTAAAGGACGTGATTTCATATTGTTGACCTGGTCATTGATTGAAGAATTTGAAGACTCTTGAACTGATTTGTGCTTTTCTCCATGTCAGCTGTTGAACTGATGTGATTTAGTATTTCTAGCCAATGTGGTGATGGGCTCTTCCCCTAAAATACTATGCTGTTGATTTACTTGATTTGCTGATTTGTGCTTTGCGAGCTTGTTGATTTTGCCCAGTGAGGTGTTGTTGCTCCTGTTGTGTTTTTCTTCTCTTCCACTGCATTTGGCTTGTGTTAGATTAGATCATGTATTTGTAATTGTCTAATTTGGTGGAATCAATTGTAAAATCTCAACTATTTTCAAGGTCATGATGATATCAAGTTCAAGATTTGAAAGCGTAATTGAAGAGAGAAGATCAAACGTTAAAATTACATCATTCAACATCCGTATGCACCTTCATGCTTAGGATAAAAGTAATGACTTAAATACCTAAAATGAATCCTTAGTTATTTTAATTTAGGAAGATTAAGATGAAAATAGAATTAGAAACTATCTGATTATGACTCTTAGCTGATTTTAAAAGAAAAATTTTTCTAAACCATTTGTGTTTTGAAAACATAGTTTGAGTCACAATCGGACTCCTCTTTGAGCAACACTTTTAGTGCTCAAGATGATAAGTTTTTGCATGATTTTAGAGATATTTTTAAGTTCTTTCTTAATTTTCTTAATTAAGACTTTATCTTTATTGTTCCACTCAAACTCTTTATTGTTTTTGAGTTTTTCTATCAAAAGAATTTCTTTCCATGATAAATCCTTGATAAAATTTCTCCCATAATTTAGAATTCCTAGAAAACTTTGTAATTGTTCTCTTAATTCTTTAGGGAATTCTTTAATTTTTGAAATTATATGTTTCTGTAATCTTATTCCTTTATGGTCTAAAGAATATTCCCAAAAATTCAGTCGACCGTTTTTCTACCTTGATTTTCTTAGGTGAAAGAATAATTCCATGTTTTTGAAAATTTTCCAATACTATTTTAAGATATTTCCTATGTTCTTTTAAGGTTTATAGAGAACACTAGAATGTCATCTATATATACTACCCAAAAATCTTTAAGGTCTTTCAAGATTTCATCCATTCATCTTTGGAATATTTGGGGCCATTACAGAGTCCAAATGGTTCACTATCCACTGGTAATGAGCACCAGGGGCACTAAAAACAGTTAATGGCTTTGATTCTTCAATAAGCTGAATTTGCCAAAATCCAAACTTACGATCTAATTTGCTAAAATACTTTACACCTTTAGTCTGTTTGACTAACACAACTTTTCAAGGAATAAAATATCCATCAAATTCCAACTGATCATTTAACCTTTTATAGTTAATGACCATTCAAGCTTTTCCACGCTTAATGTCACTATGGTTTCTTACCATAAAGACTGGACTAGAGTGTGGACTTGTGGTTGTCTCTATTCCTTTCTAGAAGCTCTTTGAGTTAAATATCAAACTCATCTATGTCTTGTTTAGTATAGATCATTGGTTTAACCGTAATTATAATACTATGATCTCTTAATTTTAAACTACAATATCAAGGACTTTGACACCACAGTTTTAGTGGGTCTTCACTAAAATTACTTTCTAAAATCTTACAAACCCAATGAGACTCGTCTAGTGTAAAAATGGGGCAAGTACATTATCACCACGCTTGGTTGGCGCAAAACCTTTTTCACACTTACATTGGTGTTGTTGGATCAAAGGGATATCAACTAACTCTTTTTCTAAGGTTAGTCCAATAGATTTTTGATAGATATGCATTGGTAAATAATTATCAATGAAATTATTTCCAAGGATAAAGTCAACATGAATTGATGGAAAACAAAGTATTTTTGGAATTACAATTCGTTTTCCATTTAACCAGATAGCTAGTTTTTTAATTTTAAATCCGATTACTCTTTAATTGTCATCTATACCTTTAGCAAGCATAGGGCGTTTCATACTTGTTAGAGTTTTTATTTATGTTAATAGTAGAATAGGGCAATATTGTAATTACCTATCAACTTATTATAAATAAGAAGGTATAGGGCAACACAGACAACATACACTCATTATTGTTTCTTTCCTCTCTTCCTTCTTTCTTCTCCAACTTGTGCCTTCTCTAACCCTAATATTATTTTCACTGTTTTAACTTGGTATCAGAGCACTTAGTTGTTAATTACATAAAACAAATCAAAGAACAGATTACACAAACCTTCAGCCAGTACTTTGCATTCCCGGAGTTCTGTCGAGAAATGCTGTTAGCAATTTCCAATGCCGGCGACCCCTTATTTTGCTCGATTTTTCGTGGTGAAGATCATGGTATTTTTTGTTTTATTTTGAAGTCATCTGAATTGAGTTTTCTATTTTTGAATATTTTCGTGGAAATAGGAGTTTTTTTTTTCTAGATCTGGAAATTTGGGGTTCTTTCTTGTAATTGGAGGCTTCGATCCATTTTTGGTAATTTGACATACCCAGGACTCTTGGAGTGTTGTTGATGCATTTTTGGTATTTTTTGGCCGACGGGGACTGTCCTGGTGGTCTTTAGTGGCACATCTAGAGTTCCCTCCATTCTTTTTGGCGCATTGTGAACCTCTTTGGATCGGTTGGTTTCTGGGTGTTTTTTTGGTGGTTCTCTGGCCTGGGCAGTGTTCAATTTAGCCTCGCCATTATTTGTGTGGCCTGGGTGGTGCTTGCTTTGTCCTGGCCAGTGCTCGATTTGGCTTGGGTGGTGCTCGATTTGGCCTGGTCAAGTGTTGTGTGGACTAGGTAATGCTCGGTTTGGACTGGGTAGTGGACGATTGTGGTTGTGTGATGGTTTTGTCATTTTTTTGATGTTGTTTGTGTATTTTGTTTGGTTCTTTATTGGTTATCTATTTGGTTTTATTCTCCACTATTTGTTAGTCGATTGTGGAATTCTCTATGGTGACATTTGCGGATGCAAAAGATACTTCAATGGCTTATGAAGCCCGACAGTTTTAGTCAGTGGATGATTCAGTTCGATAGATTACTTCTGTCAAATTTAATGGGACTAATTATTACTCTTGGTCTAAGTGATGTTACATGCATTGCTAGCTAGGGATTAAAAAAAAAAAAATTATTACTCTTGGTCTCATGCCATCAAAGTTTTTTTGCTTGCCAAAAGGAAAATTAAGTATTTGACTACGAGAAGGCAACAAACAATGAAGATTGGTGGATTGAGAATTCATCGGTGATGACTTAGTTGTAGCTTAGTATGGAACCTGTGGTAGCTAGCAATGTACAACTTCTTGACCAAAAAGATATGGAACTCTCTTGAGGAGATGTACTCGTAAGAATATAATGTGTCCGGGATTTATGAACTCTTTGAACGCATGTTTACTACCTAGCAAGGCACTAAATCCCAGGCTGAACATTATGGTACTTTGAAATGGTTATGGGAGGAATTGTTGTTGTATCAGCCACTAAGTGCAGATTTGGAGGTCCAGCGGCGACAGTGTGATGAATTTTAGGTTACTTTGTTTTTGTTCAGTCTTAACTCCGACTATGCTGTGTTTAAAGATCAGATTTTGGCTAGTGAGACCCTTTCGATAGCTGCCAATACTTACTCTCGCCTACAACGAGTTACTCTTACTCATGGCAGCATTCATTTAGCTCCACATGATTCTTCTGCCTTACTCTCTAGTGATGGTGGGTGTGGTGTTTCTCGGGGAATGTAGTGGTAACTGTAGTGGTGGTCGTCATCTAACCCAAGGTGGTAACTGTGGTGGTAGATGCAATGGTCGTGGAGGACAAGATGGGCGTAATGGTCATGGTAATCG